TTCTCCTGGACAAGACAGCGTGAATGGAAGAGGTTCTCTCTTTGCTTCTCTTTGTGTGTTTGGACCTGAGCGCTCAAGAGTCTTCTAGCTACCAGAAGCTTTCCCATATCTGGTACGGCCTCATACTCTTCTGGCTCTGGCTCTTGCTCTGGTTTGTAAACTAGAACTTCTTCCTCGGACTCAACTTCTCCATTTTCTCTTATGAACATAATCTTCTTGTTTCGGCACTCACTGGCACAGTGTCGAAGCCTTGACACCTAAAGCACTTAAATTTGCGGGCTCTGGGAGCAGAAGTCGCACTGGCCTTGCTCTTGTCCTTTTCTTCACTGAATGAAGTTCCTCTTGGCTCAAATTTTGGTGTGAAAGCCGGTTTGGTGTCTCTGGGGTTCATAGGCCGGCGCTGATCAGCTCCAAAGCATGTGGATGCCTTTCTCTTGAGCTGTTGTTCAGCAAGAACGGCTTTGTGAAGCATAGCTTCCAAGCCTACACAGTTTTTCATCTCCACAACATCATGGATCTCGCGATTGAGCCCTCCAAGGAACCGGGACATAGTGGCTTCCCTGTCCTCTATCACATTCGCCCTCAACATCAGAACCTCCATCTCCTGGAAGTATTCTTCAACGATTTTGGTTCCTTGAATGTGTTTTCGAAGCTTAGAGTGTAGCTCACGCTGATATAAGCTAGGAATTAACCGCTGCCTCATGATTCTTTTCATTTCTTCCCACGTAGTGATCTCAAAAGCTCCACCAATCTGTCTCGCGGTCACGACCTGTTCCCACCACCTTTGGGCGTAGTCATTGAACTCAGAGACGGCCAGCTTGACACGGTTGATGTTGGCGATGTTGTGCAAGTTAAAGTTGAACTCACACTTCTTTTCCCAATCCATGCACTTGTCGGGACTGTTGCGGCCATGGAACGGTGGGATTCGGATCTTGTATCCTCCGAGGTTTTCGACCATGCGGTCGGATTCATCTCGCGGCTTCCTAGAGCGGCGCCGGCTGGCTTGAGAGGAATGGCCGCTGTTGTAGTACAAGTTAGCTTTATCATCAGCCACCTTTCTTGACGTCATAGGGTCGTTCCTCCGCTCCTCATCCGAGATATGGATCGGACCTCTAGGCTCTTTCCTTTTTCCCTCTTTAACTTGTTCCCTCCGGTCAAACTCATCAATCATCATCTTCTTTATTTTTTTCATCATGGTTTCGTTGAGGCTGAAGGGAGACTCCTTGCTCGTTTCCTCTTCTTCTTCCTTCTCGAACACCATGGTGCCTAAAAAACAAGAGAAGCACTCGGCAGTTAGACGTTCAAGGGAAAAAGTACCAAAACTATTCTAGAAATTATGCAAACAATTTCTAAAAATATGGAAACACTTGTGGATGAATAGATCTATGTGAGAATGATCAGGATTAATTATGACAATAACTTTAAAATTGTGCAAACAATTAAATTGATGCTCACAAATGAAACTCGCCAGATCTAGAAGATGAACAGTCACTCTTAACAAGATGCATAAACGAAAAATAAAACAACTAGGGATAGAATCACTTAGCTTCAAAGTGGCTCTGATACCACTTGATAAGATCCTTGTTGAGATCGACACTTTGAAGCAAGTATTGAATGACGATGGGGTGATGGAATGAACTTGAATGAATGTGGCGTGATGATGGATAGAGTAGGGATGATCGAATGGTTATAACAAGAGATCTGCGGAAGGATCTCTCAACACCAATCTTGTAGATCTCAAGGATATGACACACCAAGAGATGAACAAGGCTTAAAACTCTTAAGGATATGACACATCCTAAGAACACTAAGGATTTCGCAGGATATTACACACCAACGAAATGATCCAAATTAAGAGAGGTTTTGGATAGAAAGATGGATAAAACTAAAGGGAAATTCGTACAGAACATATAAAGGAAGGAGAAGGGAAGATGAAGAGATGAGTCAATGAAACAGGCTCCATGACCATCTCGAAAATACACAAAATAATAAATGAGTTTGAAAAAAAAGATGACTCTTCAGGTGCCTGGGCGGCAAAGTTTTTAAGTGAAGAAGAGTTGGGCCGGACCCAAACAACATGAGGCAAAGAGGTAATTTGAAAGTGGGTCTTAGGCCTCATTAAAAACCTACCAAGGAAAACCCAAAGAGACAAAACCTTGGCAGGGAAAAAGAGTACACTAAGAACCACTTGCCTCTTTATCCCAAATGTTGGGCTGTTAAACAAACCAAGGTGGATTGTTTAAGCTCTTGATCATGCCGACTCAAACGGCTAATTACTCTTCCAATGCCTTGGTTGAGCAACTTAGTTTGGGACCTTGTAACCGGACCAGTTGGTATGGTCAATGCTTCCTCCGGTTCAAGCTGTTCCTCAACTACAAGCTCTCCAGCTGCTTCCTGGTCCAAGTTCCTAGCAACCTCATCCATGATCATATCACCTAGTTATAATTTGTTCTTTATTCTTAGTTTCTTTATTCTTTTTGTATTCATCTCCTCAAGCCTTCTCGTCGAGACGAATCACCCCATGTACCATCTTAAACTTTGGTTGATCTAATAGAGAGTCTCTCCTAAACTCACATCTCTTATCTTACTATTACTGTGTGATTTTGAGATCTCACATGTGGAATAATCTCGTTCTTATGCAGTACAACTATCAGTGATGAGTCATTTCTCTGTGATTGGAGAACGTTGTACTCGTTTTTTCTGTTTTGCAAGCTTCAGGTTTGTTTTCTTCTCATACCCGAGAGTTGGTTTGCAATGTGGAATTTTGTTGTTTTGGGCCTTATCAACATCACATGAGTGGAGACCCACATCTTCTATTTTAGGCCTTCTTGCTATCTTGTTGTTCACACTCTTTAATACTGCCTTTACCATTAATAACAGCCTTTTTTTAAGTTGGTTTCCTAAAAGCTTTCTAGGCCCAAGGACTAATCCAATCTGGCTTTGCATTCGGTTACGCGTTATCCCATCATTAAGGACGTAGCTAAGTGGCCAAGGCGACTCGAACCCTGATGGCGATACTCACAGCTGTGAGTCCATCATTACCACTGGACCAAGACGACTTGATTTTTAATAATAATAATATAGTATTATGCTATTACATTAATAATAGCCTCTCTCGAGTATTTTTATCGTGAGTAAGTCGATTTCTTTCTTATGATCTTGTTAGGTTTAATCTAAGTTGTTTATTTTATTGGTCTTTATGCTAATCTTTTGATGTACGGAAAAAAACGAATTTGTGTGATTTTGAAACTAATTTAGATGTTAGGTTATTCTTAATTTTGGATTTTTTTTTTGATTCATTAGATGAAATTGCAGAAGAAAATTTGAGAAGAAGAGATGAGAGATGAGGGTTGTTCAAAAAAAATGAGAAATGGGAAAGAGGACGAAGAAGAATAGATTGGAAATGTCGTGAATAGATTGTAAATGTTTTTACAATGTATTTGAATGTGTCAAACTCAAAATACATCTAGATATATTTAAATATATTGCAGATATAGTTTTTCAAAACGACAACTAATATAAAACGGAGGGAATAGTTTTTTAACCGAAATCTGTTTCAGCCACGTCGACACTATACATAGATATTTAATAGTGACTTCTCATTTTGCAAGTTTGACTTGCATTAAAAACTATTTTTTAAGTTAAAGGTTTTATGTACTTTATTATACAAAATATATTTCACTACAAATATACAGAGATCCTATATTGCGGATGACTTTAGATTTCATGACATTGACTTACACATGTTTTAATTGAAGACTTGATTTGCAAAATCATTTATTAGTTTGAATCCTTTTTTTGCACAGATCTCATAAGTTAACTCATGTTGTGGCTCAATACCAATTAGGCTGAAAAATCAAAATATGACAAAAATCATGAAAAAAATTTAGTCACGTATTATCTAACTATTCGGTCTTTTTAGTTTTTACTAGGAGAGAACCCGCGCAATGCGCGGGTTTATTAAACCAAATATTTTTAATTTAATTATTCAGAACATTAGATTCGAATATATCATTTGTTTTTTACTCGAATATATTAGATTCTGTAAGTTTTGCATTTTGTTTTTTTTCATATAGTTTTAAAATTTAGTTGTTATTTACGTGAAATCTTATATAGACTCATAGTGAATAGTTTCATATGTTTTTTGTTCTTTTATACAATAATTTATCGACTGGAGTTGAGTTCTTCTAATTTTCCTTATACTAACAATCATTATAGATTGATTATTATCCTACAGACTCATAGATAATAATAATTGCAATCCTTTTTAAAAGGAAATGAAATGAGCTAATTAGCCAGTAAGCCCATTTAAAGCTACCATGGAAACGAAGAGGTCCGATAAATAATCAAGCCCATCAAAACGAACAGCATTACACATAATTTTGATTTAGATTTTTTTTTTTTTTTAATACGAAAACGACGTCGTTTTGGTGTAAGACGAAAAAAAAAAGATAAAGCGCAAAACGACGTCGTTTTGGTGTAAGACAAAAATAAAAAAAAAATAAAGCCAAAACGACGTCGTTTTGGTGTTAGGCGAAAAAAAAAAAAAAGAGTGCCACGTGTCAAAGGCTGGAGATTGTCCAAGCCTTATTAGTTATGTAGATTACGTTTAAAGATTCGCCTCTGTAATAAATTCACTAGAAACTGTAATCACTGCTCCTTTTCATTTAAAATTCAAAAAGATCCGAGGTAAGAAAACTAAAAATATCACAAAAAGATTTTAAACAAAAATTCACAAGAAATATCATCAATCATGAACGTCATAAGCCAACAAACTACTCCCCATTAAGAGAAAGAGGAGGAGCGTGGGTCCGCCGTGGCATATAGCCGTTACAGTCACAAACGCCGTTTCTACGGTTACGTGGCACGGATTTTAATTTTCTTTTTTTCTTCTTATTCTACCACAGCTGTTATAAATATATAAAACTAATAAAAAGGGACTGGTCGTTCGTAAAACACACAAAATCCGACCGTTGTTTGAGTTTATCTTCTTCTTCTTGCCCGAAACAGAACTCAATATTCCAAAAAGCTTTTTCCTTTCTCTCTTTAGATCGAACACAGTCTAGAGAGAGAGAGAGAATAGAGAGAAATAAGCTGTTTTTGTTCTCTTTGCGTGACGACGATGTTGGACGATTATGGTATAACGGAGGAAGACATGGTAATCGAGGAAGCTCAGGGCTACCCAAGAGCTTACGCAAAGATCTGTCGCGATTTTGATGCTTCCCCGTATAGAAATGGCCCTCCTTTCACTTTCATGCCATACATTCTGCAGCAGAACGAGGTAATTTTACCCAATCATATGTTAGCTAGACCGAAATTGAGCTTAAATTCAAAACATTTGGGCGGAAACGAGAGCTTTTGGAATAATTGAAAGCTCAGGGATTGATTGCTTTTCTTTCTCCAGATTTGATTACTGAAACTGGAGTAGTGTTTTTATTTTAATTTTCTCTGTAATGACAAAAAAAAGTTGCTGTTTTTGTTTTGTCCTGAAGAACTCAAGATGCAGAGAGGTAAATGAGATGTTCCCAGTAATGGATCCGAAAGCGAGACCAACAACGAAACCGAAGATCTTCCTGAGCCTCCTGTGGAAACAACTTAATCATCTAGGGTAAGGGCTTATTCTTTAAACTGACACACTAAACACTAGAGTCAATTTCAGATTCTTATGAGTTTGATTTGTTGTTTTTGTAGAAATGCTGGTTTCGATCCGGCTGTAATTCGGATTGATCCATATGGGAATGTTGTTTACTTCCACGCTGATTCAGCTTCTCCTCTTGCTTGGGGTTTTGATCATTGGTTCCCTTGCTCAAGTACACAACACTCCATCCTCAAACATCTCCTTTTTAGTTTTCTTTCTTTAATTAGATTTTTGAGTTTCTGTTTCTTGAATTGTTTGTAGGAGGAGGTTTAACAGTACCAAGCAACCTAAGGATAGTGCAATGGCAAGCACGCAAGAACAAGAAGGACAAACTCGAGTTCCTTGTACCATGGTGGGATCTTCAAGTCGGCATCTCAGTGAATCAGTTCCTCTCTATTTTCGCCGCTTCAAGTTCCGATTTCAGGAGGAGAGCGTTTTCATTCTTGTTCAAAGAAGGCGAGAGCGAGGAACTTAACGGATCACAAACGGTCGAGTCGCACCATTTCCCACATCATTTTGTTGAATCCAAAGAGAAGTTTGGCCTTGCTTCTGCTGCAGTTGTTGTCTCAAGAAGAGATCCTTATGACCCTTCATTAGTCTTGAGATCACTTGATTACAATCGTCAAACACCTGGTTAGTAGATAATTGATAGTTGTTGATAGAACAAACATTCTTTTTATCTATTAGTGTATTGAATCAAATTTATTGTGCAGCAAAGAAGACGAGACTTGGTGCAATGAAAGAGAATGAGACTCCAGATATGATGAAGAATCCGTATCAAGCGATTGTTGCCGCTAGGGATTCGCTGAGGAACCGAGAGGAAGCTCAGAATACGAGAGCTGAGATGAAGAAGCTAGATGATGAAATGGATGATCTTGCAAGAAAGAACAGCGAAGAGAGGCTTACCATTCAGGGGCTGGAAGGAGAGCTAATTAAGAGAAGAAGACGAGCTGAGAAGTGCAGGAGATTGGCAGAAGCTCAATGCTCCTATAGGAACACACTCGAGAAGATGATCCGTGACGCCATGCACCAGTAAGAGATCTTGTTATCTATACAGCAATTTGCATTTTTATCTATATGTTTAGAAGTAGCTCAATGTTGTTTTGTATTGTTTTGTAGGAGTGTTGTGTATAAGGAACAAGTGAGGCTAAACCAGGCTGCAAGTAGTGCACTTATGGCGAGATTAGAGGCTCAGAAGGCGATTTGTGATGGCTCAGAGAAAGAACTTCACAGGAAGTTTAAAGAAAGAGAGGAGCTTGAGAATCAAGTGAGGCCTGAATTGGAGAAAGCAAGGAAAAGATCCAGACTTTTTCTGAATGATGATGAAGATGAGGACTTGTTGGTAGACGATAGAGACAGGAAGTTGTCTTTGTATCTTCCTGGAACAAGTGAAGAAGGTACGTCGTTACACAAGGAGTTGCGAGTTTACTTGGAAGAAGAGCATAAAGCAGCAGCCTCTGAGGCTGAAACTCATAAGCATGAAGAAATAGAAGAGGAGGACGAGGAAGAGAAGGATCCAGAGAAGTCTCTTGTTGCGTTAGAGGAAGGGAAGAGAGGCAGCAGCAGAAGCTTTAGAGCTTTTCCTGTATTCAAGGAGCCAGAGAGTGATGAAGATGAGGAAAGCAGGAGAGAGAGAGGGAAAGGGAATGTTGAGAAATGGCTTCATATCTTACTGGAGAAAAACAGCAGCAAAGAAGATCTTGAAACCGAAAGAAGCAAGAGCATTGATGAGATGATTGAGAAACTTGACCACAAGTTCCCTCTACTTGAAAAGGTCAATGAAGATGAAGAAGCGGAAACGCAGTTGCAGGCTGAGGAGACAAACAACAACAACAACAACAACAAAAGCAAGGAGGTGGAAACAAGAAGTGAAAGCTCTCGTAGAAGCAGAAAGAGTTTTGATTTGAAGAACACACCAGAGAAGAGTGGCAGAGAGAAAGTGGTGAAGAGATCAGAGAGCGCCAGAGCCTTCAGAAGGATTCCATCTTCTCCATCAATCCTCTTTGGAATGAAAAAGGGAATTGACTGCATCAGGAAGAAGCCTGTGGTTTCAGGTCAGGACGATGAGAACGATTATCTCGTCAAGAACAACTTCATCAAATCATCTCTCCAATCAATCAAACGAGCTGTCAAATTTTAAGACTTACACATCTTCATAATATGCATTTGTTTTAGTGTGATTCATTCATTTCTTGTTTATATAAAAAAGACTTCCCCTATTGTGTAATAATAACACCTTGTTGTGTTGTTTTTATTTTCTTCAAGACAGAGATTTTCTCCACCTAGAAGGTGTTGTTCTTCCTTTGACAAGCCTTGTCTTCATATTAGTTCCAGGAGTCTGAGGCTCAAATCCTTCACCTGATTCTTCCTCACCATGATGCATCGTCTTCTCAACACCAACACTTGCTCTAATCCTCTTCCACCGGAAAAACCCTTTACTCCCACCACCGCTCTTCTTCTCCATAAGCTTCTCCATCTGCAAATGCATAGCACCGCACTCGCTCTGCAGCCTCGCCACATCCTCTCTAAGCCTTCTTATCTCTGCTTGCTGAACATTAATCTCCCGTTTAGACAAGCACCGCGCCGCAGCAGAGCCCTGCTCGAAGTAGTGTGAGCCAGAAGGGTTTGTTGGAGTAGGACTCCTCGTAGTGCTGGTTATAGAGCTACCACTCCAGTCAATGTGACGGCTTAGCTTTGTCTGCTCAGTGAACAACACTCTCATGATTGCTCTCACCGGTAGACGATCGTTCTGAGCTGCGTGGAGTGCCGCTTCCGGTGATAGCTTCCTGCTGTCAATAACTCTGCAAAGTTCCTTCCTTTCTTGCTTCAACACTTGAGGATGAGCCTGAAAAATTGAGTCTTTTAAGAATCGAATCGAATCGAATCTCAGTTACAAATTTATAAGCTTTTTGATTATTATTACCTTAAGATATGTATCAATGGCTCGGTAGAGGCCGTCCTCTGTGGTACGAGCATAGCTAGGCAGAGCTTCGATTAAGGAAATAAATTCCTGTAGAGTTAAACCACCGTCTACGGCGGCTTCGGCGAGGTAAGAGTCAACAAGCTTAGCCACTTTAACGAGGGCTGCACCGGTTTTGACACCTTCAGTGTCTAATCCGGCGAATTTCTTCACGAGGCGAGTCACGAGCTCGACGTCGAGCAATGTTTTGCTTGTGTAGCTGAAGGAAGGTATCAATAGCTCCTTGAGCGAGGCTTGGTCGAGCTGCCATGATACTCTGGTTTCAAGCTCCGTTAGGTAATTCGGATTGGCTCCGACCATTTTCGCCGTCCTGAGGAGGCGGAGGAGGAAATTGCAGGGAACGGCGTCTTTCTCCGGAGGGAGGATTCCGATTAGGGTCTCGACGAAGAACCGTTTCTTCATCAGAGAAGACGTGACGCTCTCCGGGTGAGGATGGTCGCTGGGGTTTTTCGATCCGACGGAGGAGACGTTGCCGGAGAGATCGGGGAGCCATTTGGAAGCGTAGTGAGCGATGATGGAGCCGATGAGGTCTGGCCGGATTCCTTTGGATTTGATTCCGGCGATGGTTTTGACGAAATAGTTCATGTCTTGGATACAAGCGTCGTCGAACCAAGAGTAGTATTCCATATCTCCGACGAAGGTTTCGTTGCGATGATGAGACGGGTGGTTGCTGTAGATGGTGACTGGTTCCGGCGAAGGTGTTTTCTTCATTTTCACCGTGAGCTTGATTTTGCAGTAGTGTTAATAAAGAAAGCAAAGTGATGGTCTTTTACGTTTGGTTAAGTTTTTTTGCTCCAAAAGCTCATCACAGAACGTAATCATGACTTGGCGCAAAATTCCAACACAAAGAACAACGTTTTGGAATATTTTGAAAATACCACTGTTTCTTCGTCTTCACTGAAATTTAATATATATCCATTATCCAATATATCAAAGTTATTATTATTTTGTTACTGTATAGCTTATATAATTGACTATATGGTAAAGTTTGTCTATTTTCTTGTATATATTCCGTGTAAATTATTGAATAGGCGAAGTTATTTAGTTGCTATATTCAATTGTATATATGTATTCATAAAAGTTTAAAACATTGTTCGAGTATACTATATATTGTTTCTACTAAACATAAAATGAAGGTTACTGAATCATACGAGCTTGTCCAACAACAAAAAGGATATGCATGTATAGATAATGTCAAATTACTATTGAGAGTTCTTGCCTGTATAGTATTTGTTATATATGCTAAGGTGGACTAACGTTTATTCAGAGATGATATGAATGAATCATGATCGTCATGTTAGAGGACTGAGAGGCTGTGGTGGAAGATAGAGATAAGAGAAGAATGAAGACAAAAATCCTCTTGATTTGCCAAATATATTTAAAACAATAAATTTATTACAGATGGAATATTGATCAATGCATAGACGTGTCTTATTCTCTGCGTTGCTATTGGTAATTGTATTCTAGTGATATCGATTTATTGCTAAAACAAACGATTTTTACAGTATTAGTTTTGATTTAGACTGTAAATTCCCAACAATATAGTGAAGTGTTGTTTTTGGTCTAAAACAAACAGAAACTTTGCTTTGTACTTATTGTTTGATGAATTTCCAAACAAAAGCTGTTTTTTTTTGTATAGAAAAGATTCAACAATTTATGTAACACGCAGAGTATATTCATTCATGAATGACTGCAGTTTTTGACTGTAAAAAGAAACTAACGAGGTGAGCTTATATTATGTATCTAGCTAAAAAAGACAAATAAATCATAGTCTTCTCTGTTCCGCTCTTTTGTAATATCCTTCTCTCCATGTGGTTTTGTAGATGAAACGACAATGAATGGTCCCGTTTTAGAATATCGTGAGTCATGACCATCAGACCATGCCGATTGTCTTATCACACAACCATACGTACATGCCAAAAATAAGATTCTCTCTCTAGCTTTTCTTTTTGTTCCCATTGCACATTCACATGATCACATCACATCACATCATTAATGTGCGATGACACACCAACCGGTTAAGCCCATTCAAGGCCTATACCGACTCCCCTTTACCCAAACTAATGAGAAGAAGCATGCCAAAAGGTTTGTCTGGCTACACTAATATTGAAAAGGTTTGTGGAATCCACAATTTTCAGTTTTTTTCTGTTACGCACATTGATACGTCTTAAACCCACTCAGGGATTCGATCTATAGAAGGATGAACAATGATGAGAGAGAGAGATCGCTTTATGGAAATAAAATTAGGAAATGAGATTGTAGTAGAAGAGATTTTGCATGGATGAACAAAGTCTTAAAGGATAAAACAAGCAGCAGTCACATAAGCTTACAAGTGTGTTTGTGTCTTTTGATGTAGCAAACAAGCATATATTAAAGTGTATATGTACAAACATTCATTTGGTTCAACCGAAGGTTTTCTCACTGCTATAGCACATGTAAACGAATCCATCTTTGTCTTTGTAAGTCTCGTAGACCGAATCCATTAGAGCAGCTGCATAGAGAGAAAGAGTAAGCATGACACATGAAATAACTTCTTGCTTAGAAAGCCCTACAATTAAAAACCCAGTTGCATATAGCCAGATACTCACCTGTTTGAAGCAGAGTGTTATTCACGAACACGAATAATGCTTTGCCAGGAGACAGTTGTAATCTAGCACTCAAGATGTAGATGAATTGGCCAACAGACATATCTCGTGGAACTAGGAACCTAAACATTTGAGAAACCAGCTCAGATAATTTCTTCCCAAGAACATCCTCATATATATATACAAAAGTGATCACTCTGAAATTCATCAGCTATTCAACTCCTAAACATATGCATGAGTAATTTTAAGGTTACTGCATAAATTGAAACGAGAAATTTTAAGGTTACTGCATAAACTGAAACCAGATCAACAGTATATCAAACAAGTCATGAGCTAAGCAAAACTATGACAAAGAGATGATGAAAATACAAGTCAAGATGAAATTTTTACTTCTTCTTCTCGATTGCAGGAAGATCGGTTTTGCAATACTTCTCAGCAATTACCTGCAGAATTATCAACACACCGTAGAAGCGAAATCATTGAGTTCCAATTTCAGAGGGTTAATTGAATGTATAAACAAATTAGATCGTCTTGTTCACATCCGATAATTTAATTATAAGATTATAATAGACTTACTGGAATCCGAGTAGGGTACTTAGCGAGTATTTCCTTCGATTCCGCGAGCCTTTCAGCTGCAAAATATGAGATAAGGTAATTGAGCATTTCAATTTTCAATTTTCGATCAACTAGAAACCAATTAGCAGATCGATCCGTGAAATAGCCACGAACCTAACGTCAATTCTTCCTTGAAAGATTTCATCTTCGACAAAGACCACCGCAGGTTTGTTCGTCGTGTCGTGTCGCGTCGGTGTGTGCTTCCCCTTGTCTGGAAGAGACGAACTCAGGCGAAGATAGAAATTAAACCGGTTGGTTAATAAGTGCCAGATTAAATATATGATTACTGTTGAGTTAGGCGAAGATAGAAATTAAACCGGTCAACTACTTAACTCAACCGGAATAACAAGTGCCAGATTCAATATATTATTATTGTTGAGTTACGTAGTTAACAAACAAGCGGGGATAGCTCAGTTGGGAGAGCGTCAGACTGAAGATCTGAAGGTCGCGTGTTCGATCCACGCTCACCGCATTTATTGTATATATTTTTATATTTTGTACATAGACCGGTTCGGTTTTCGTCTCAGATTTGTATACTCGATTTGTTACAGGCCGAAACATGGTTTAGCTTTAGCAGTCCAATACATTTTAATCGCTTTAGTTTCTTCCTTACGGTTAGATCCAACTCCACTCTTGCGTAAATCACATTAAATTAAAGGAAAACGAATCCTCTGTTTCTTCTTCTCTAAACTTAGCAGCACAATACACAGGACATATATAGTCACTCGTCAAGTAAAACAGAAACTGGAGTCTTTCTAAATGGATCCGCCTGAGCCAGTTTCGAACCAAGAGCCCAATTAGGGAACACATTATCTGCCTTCATTCTCTCTCTCATTCCATAAGCATGAGTCTTACCGTTGAGATAAGCCAAGAGAAGAGCTTCATACTGCATAAGCTGAGCTGCATAGCCATCCCTTTTCATCCTCAGGAAAACCTTCTCTGCGTTATGAAAATCGCCTCTTCTCGCGTACTCCTCGAGAATCACCATGTGAGAAGTGAACATAGGCCTCGTCCCGTTACCTTTCGTCGCTTTGCTCAATATCATCTCAGCTTTGCCAACTTCTCCGGCCTTGATATAGAGTCTCACAAGCGAGTGCCATATCTCCGGACCAATCTTTACCCCTGCGCTCGCCACTCTTTTAACCAGGTTCTTGCCTCTCGCTAGCATCTTGCTTTCCGTGTATATCTCCATGAGCGCAAAATACGGCAGCATTGGGACGATCTTGTATTTCTCCACGAGTCTGTCAAACACCGCCTCTGCTTCTTCGGTTTCTTTCAGCTTTCCCCATGCTTTAATGGCAGCAATGCAGTTATCATACCTCAACGTTTCTTCAGCAAACTTACTCAATCTCCTCACGTTCTCAGTGTCTCCTATGTCTGCATAGAGAGGAAGCAATGAACGGCACACCCATGGAGTTTGTTTCAAGCCTTTCCCTTCCATCTCCTTCATAACTTCTTCAGCTCGCTCTTTAAGCCCCGCTCTTATGTAGTACCTAGCCATTGTAGCTTGTATTTCCGGATCTAGCTCAATACCTTCTTCCTTCATCGTCTCCACGATCTCATCCATTCCAGTTATGTCTCCGGCTAAACCTTTACTGTTGATTAGAAACTGATAGGTGCCGCGAGTCGGCTTGACGTTTTCTTTCTCCATGAGTAACAAAACATCGGATATCTTCTTCCTGTCGTGCTTGCTGTAGAGGAGAAGCAGCTGATTGCAAGCGAAAACGCTCGTTGGGAATTTCAGTTCTCTCATTTTGTTGAAAAGCTCTTCCGCTTTTTTCACGTGGAGCTTAAGTACACAATTTGCCAGGAGGGTTCTGTATACAACTTCTCCTCTGAAAGATTCTGGAATCTCCTTCAAGAAGTTCTCAGCTTTTTGTAAACCATGTACCTTGGCCACCAAATCCAGCTGAGAAGCATAGTTTGCCTCTGTGAACTCAAACTTGGTATTAGCTCCCAACCACTCCCACAGCTGCGAAACAAAAGCAAAAGACTTGCAAGCTTAAGGAGATTGATATTTGATTAGACAAAACGAGAAAAGTGAGAGAATTTAACCTGCAAAGACATATCATATGATCTGCGTTTACGGAGATTGTGTATAGCAAGAGAAACCTCTGCTTGACTCAAATCTTTTCCTTGTTTGACCCACAATTCAAGAACGTGTTTCACAGATTTATAGGTAATAATGGATTCATAGAGCTGAGACTGAGAGTGAGCCCTTTTCTTTCTTGTTTTCCCCTTGTTTAAACGCTCTGCTTGGATCTCAAGATCATCATCAGAAGCATCTATGTCACCACTACCTAGCTCAGGCTCGAGTAAAGAATCATCTTCACGTACATCTCCAGAAACAGGAAACGACTCATCTGCTTCAGATAACTCCTCCTCCTTGTCATTTGAATCAGCTGTAGAAGAAAGCTGGTTGACGCAAATGAAGCGCGAAAGCGAAAACACATCTCTCGCGGAATAGCGTCTAATTAAACCTTGGGATTCACTGTAAATCAATCCAGATGATCCCAATACGCTTTCTTTGAAATCACCAATTGGTATTTCTAGTTTACTCACCGCACCAAATGAAGAAGGCGCAAGATTAATTCTTCGACTCCTAAAATACACAGAGAATAGAAAGTCTGGTAAACACAAAGAGCTCTAAAACAGTGAGAATTGCCAAAACCCCAGAATCTCAAAATTACGACTTTTACCTTCGCAGAATCTTCGAAATCGAATGCATAACTCTTTTTCAGGCAAATGAGGTCAGGATCCTGAGAAACAATTCGGTGAATTTCACATCCGAAAATCGAGCTTGATACGATAATTGCAGAAATGGAGAAGCTTACGATTCGAGTGATATGATTTTTTTGCCGGCGGAGGAAGGAGAAGTGCTACAGATCGCAACACGACAAAAACAAAATTAGGGGTTTAGGGTTATCCGTGCGAGGGGATAGTACGGTTTCCATTCCATACGTGTGAGGTGGTTAAAGGGTAAATTCGTCAATTTTGAATAGGGGATGTTTGGTGCCAAAATCTTTAAATGTTTGAAATACCGCTTATCCGAGAACAACAATAAATGATTTCTAATCAAATTATGGTAAATCTCCAACAAAGATCATGCTTTTACCATTTTCTGAGAATAGACGAGAAAAAAAAAAACACTAATATTACAGCTACGTCGATAGGGGAATAATAGGCCAGGTAAAGACTTTAAAGTTAAAAAATTAGATTAATTAAAAAAAACTAAAGTAGTGAGTATCTCTTTTATTTTTGAAAGTTCGCTTGACTTTATATTTGCTATGACAAAAGACCTAGTCAGAAAAAACGAAGCGGTGAGAAAACTTACTAATTACAGTAATTAAATTCGTAATTAAGCAAAGTCCAGAAATTTCCATGAAGGATCGTCGCTTCGTCACTCTCACCTTTTCCAGCTTTTATGCAAAACCTCAAAACCCCCTTTCATGTTCGCTCTCAGCTCATCTCCTCTTCCAAACCCTCTTTCCTCTCTGTGAAACAGCTCCGGCGACCTAAAATCGTCCCGGAGAGAAGTTTCCGAGCTTCCGTCTTCTGATTTCACGTCGCTTTTGTAATACCCAGCTGCAACGTCCGTACATAGCGTTTCTGCCGGCATCGCTGTTGATAAACGTGAGTTTCTTCCGGCATTTGCTTATTTTCTGCTCGACATTGCTAAAACCCAGCGATGCTCTTTACGGATTGTCTCTTGTATTTCAAAAATTTCACTGCTGCATCTCCGTTTTGCATGTTTCCTTTACTTGGTAAAGGGGATTATCGGTCGATTCCTACTGTAATCGAGCCTTGCAATCGCTTTAGAACGTCGAAATCTGTTGCTATTTGGAGCTTATCTCTCACACTAGGCGCTTTTTTCAAGCGGAAATTTTTGGATTCGCTTGGTTTTGTGGGTGCAGATTTGTATGATTGCGTAGTTACTCACAAACTAGCTTTGATTATACAGCATTCACCTTCAATTTCTGGGATATGTATTATTTGTGATTGTAGAATCTGTTCTGCTACTGTTCAAACCATGATAGTGCTTAGGTTTATTAGGATGAAATTGTTGACATTTGTGATTCATTTCGTGGAGTTTGCTTTTGACAACCTTTTTGTAAAATTTTTCGGATTGTTAGTGTTCATTGGACTGTCCCTACTTAAGGCATTGCTTTAGTGAGGTGCTTGCAAAGTTGCGTGAGAGGTTGAAGACGCCTTAGGTCCAAAACTCAAACTTTTGCATGATCTTACACTCTCTGATTTCACTTTGTTGCATCTTATTGTACTTTGTATCTTCTTCTCTCTTGGACAGTTTGGGAAGATCTCTGTTCGAGCTAAGTGGATTCTCTATGTTGCAATCAAGTGATGCCGATGGAGAAGAGAGCCCTGACTTCAAGTGGGGTGAAATGAAAGGGTTGGGACAGAAAGATAAAAACGTCAAATTCTATGAATCATTTACCTTTGATGGCATCGAATACAGGCTTTTCGACTGTGCTTATTTCTGCGTACGTGGTCAATGCGAGACTTCTATTGGGAAGCTTGTCAAGATGTTTGAGACATCAACAGGTGAGAAGAAAGTCAAGGTCATTTGGTTTTTTCGACCTATTGACATCCGCAGCTTCTTGGGAAAATATGAGCCACTATGGGATGAGTTGTTTCTGGCTTGTGGTGATGACTTGGGGGTTTCCAATATCAACGATGTGGTAACTTTGCTGGCTTTTCATTTATCTTTCCCTTTCTTCTTACAAAATCGATATGTTTATGTGTGTAAGATGAGTTTAAGCTTCATGTGTTGTTGGTCCAGGAGGCGATCTTGGGAAAATGCAATGTTGTATGCCAATCGAGGCACCCTAAAAACCGATATCCATCAAAAGATGAGAGGAGGATGGCTAACTACCTCTTCACCTGCACCTTCGATACAAGACTGAAAATCATATCAAAAGACTTTGCAGATGCAATTGCTGGAATTGGAGGTCTGGGATAGAACAAAATTTCAAAGCTTTATTGTTCAACTCCTAATGCAATTCGAATATGGATCTGATGAAGCATATTTCACTTTTTTTGGCTCTAATTATGCAGTGGAGAAACTCTTCAACAAGAAAAGAGAAGAACAGCCTCTAAAACGTCTAAACTCAACTGCAGCTGGCAGTTCCAGGCCGTCTCCAGTGAAGCCTTTTCATCCAGATTCAGGATCAACAAAGCTAGGAAAAAAAATTAACAGAGATAGAACAAGCCCGGTAAAGAAAGGTTGATCCTTTTTCCTCTTATGTTCTGGCCTCTTATGTGATAGTTAGTTGTGAAATGGGCAGACCAGATTGACATTAACCTTCATTTTGCAAGACTTGTTTCTGAAGGATAGTGCTAGTCGTGAGCATTTGAAGAAGAACCCTCCTGTCAATACTGATGTCACGTCAGGATGTCCGAGAACCAAATCTAGAGCATCAGGGGATTTACTTGCTCCAGGTTCATCAGTCAATCCCACGCCTTCTAAAAAGAGGAAGCTTAGACTCAGCATGACAGAACCAGCTGATTCATATGGTTTAGTCCATCAACCAGAAGAGAAAAGATTCATTAAAAATCCTCCTCTTGTAGTAAAAGCTCCAAGTCAGAACATTGTACGTACACTACTGCTGTGAAAAAGCTTTCTCTTTGCTATTTCAGTGGATTAGCTAAGAGAAATATAAACAATTTACAGCATAGCACAAAGAGTATTCACAGTTTAGTGTATACTATTCACTTACGACATTTCTAAATTATTTCTCTCCTTTTCTCTGCCTTACAGGATAAAAGCAGCTGGTTCAAGAAACTGGTAAGTTCTCTGACGCCTCAAACTTAGATTTTCCTTTCATTGGGGGGAGATGCATTACAATCATGTTTTGGTTATAAGAAGAATCTAAAACTTTTGATTCCAATAGCTACTAGCTTTCATCACACGAAATCAGATCAGTGTATCATTACGATTCAGAGAAACTAGGAAATAGTTAAGATAAAGTTAGTTCAGCGGCTTCAGAAAAAACCAAAGCTATACTAAAGTCAATTCCGTTTCCTCATTTGACATTGCTGTATTCCTTTTTCCAGCCTTTTGAGGACGAACTAAAAGAGGCTATAGAGAAAGACAGGTTGCTCTTATTTGAGAACCTGGAACCATCATACACATCACTGGACGTGGAGGTATGTGATCCTACTATGGAGTAACTGATCCCAATGTGGGATTTAGTGCAAGATGAATTGGTCAAAAGAGCTTTCATCTTAAAGAGGAAATCACACTCAATGCCATTTAATTTTGATATGGAACCATTGACAGTATTTTGATATGTGTTGCCATATTTTTTAGAGTTATTTTTCAGAACAATCGTTTATGCATCCTATTCAATGTTGACAACGCAAGTCCATCTATACATGTTGATCAAAGACGAAACATAGTAAAACTCATCGGGATTTCCTTTTTGGTGTGTGCAGGATCTTTGTTGGCAAGCTTTCAACGAACGAGTTGATGCAAGGATGATCCCAGCAAGTCTTCTGTCTAGCCCACATAATGGTACATCTTCTTTAGACCAACCCTTTTGCTGTTGTAAGCTCAAGATTGTTTTTTTCCTTTGTAAATAACTGGCATTGACAACAAATTTAACTGCGTTATGTGATCAGGTAAGGCTCTTGTGATTTTTGGCACCACAAGAGCAGCTGATAAGGCCCTGTCTCGGTTAACTGAAGGGTACCTGATGTTATCTGACGAAAGGTCATTTTCTATCTCTCATAGATGTGAAAACTTCATCAAATTCTTGTTGTCCTTTTTCTCTTATATATATGATCGTTTCGCAGACCTCTAGTGGCTAGTAGAAATGCCCCAAAGGAAGTCGGAGAATGTAAAAGATTTACTGGACATTTTACTCTGGTGGATAAAGCTCAGATGTCCATTCAGAAGGCAAGTTATTGCAATAGTCATGTCAAGCGTTTGTCTTTACCTCAGCGCTCTCAAAAGTCTTACATAACCTGTGATCTCACACAGTCTTTGTTCTTCTAACTTTGTTTCAAAAGAGAAAAGCCGTTGCTACATCACACTGCGCGCAGCCCAACCATGCTGTACACATGATGGCATGGGAATGGCACGCTCTTCAGGCAAAGTCAGAATCGCAGTTGAAGAGGTTATTCGAGGTCTGCTCTTTATTCTCATTTCATAGTAATGTATGAACACATCTTTGATGTCCTTCCCAGTCTTTATCTTCTTTCCTCATCCTTTGTAGGAACAAGCCAAGGATATTAACTGGCTCAGGAGCAAAAACCATCAAGAAATCAGAGGATAGGAGCAAGAATGCAAGTCCCTTGGCTCAACAGCACAAAATATCACTTGTCGGATTTTGGTTTAGTTTTTGAAATCTAGCTGATGCCACTCCTTTTTGTGTCCTTAGGTGGCATTATATATTGAATTCCCGTCATATAGGTTGTCTAGGATTGGTTTTGTTTTTGTCTTATGATTATCAAGAAAAAAGAAGATGATGATCATCGTGACGAACAACATGACCGTGATTAGTTTTATCATCACATACATGTTTGTTAAATTGTGTTTGCTTTTGAGTACTATTGTTTTGCTGATTTTTTTTGTTAATGTTGAACTGGAAATGCATATCTTGGAATTCGGTCTCCACCAGCTCAATGCAAACTTGGCAGATTGGTTGGTGCAACAAAGGTTTAAAAAGGTATGTGAATGATTGGCCCACCGTTAATTTTGAGAACCCTGGATTTTTTTTTTCTTAATATTGAATTATCTCTACGGAAAAAGGGTTATCATGGAGAGTTGCCGGTCACAGCTTTAGAATCGATGTCATAAGACATGAAGAAACAATATTGTCGTGCAGGGTTTTTAATCAATCTAGGTGAGTCTAGAGGATGTGAAAAAACACTATTTTCTCCAGCTCTGGGTTTTTATTTCGACAATTCCAGATGATAACTCTAAGGGAGTCTAGAGGATGTGGAAAACCATAATTATCTTTAAAAACCATAATTTTCTTGGTTTAGATTTCGGAGCCTAATGTCGGCTAAAAAAACCCTAATGACATACCTATAAATATTGTTTGTTATTGTTTCTTAGCTCTTACGTTTCATCGTATCCATACCGCTCACGATTTCAATGGCTTCCGTGTTGTGTGCTCTCACCACCTCCTCCCAATCTCTTCTTTGTTAAGAGAATTAGTTTTAGTTTTTCATGGTAGTCGATAGATGTGGACATATGATTGAAGCTGGAATATGTCAACGAAGCTTTGTTTGAAGGTCTTTGGTCTGGTAGTAGAGTCTTGAGGGCTTGGGGACTCAGTTCAGAGTTGCATGAATACTTATGCTTTTTTTTTAACATACAGTTTTGGGGATTGAACGTGAATAATGTATTAAGATGCTTGAAAGCATACCAAGATGAGAGGTTGAGTTGACTCCATCAACGAATAGCTATGAAGGAGTCTCTTCTATAATTACTGTAGTATAGGTATTGATTATATTGGCTTCGAAGAAGAATGACGTGGAATCAATTGGTAGACATTCATCGTTGAAACATTAGGTAGAATAAACATTGATGTCTCTTTTCTTCTTTTGAATTGTCTGTTTCTTCACATGCTTAATTAACGCCTTAGGCCCTTT